TTCGAACCCTCAATCTTCTGATCCGAAGTCAGACGCCTTATCCGTTAGGCCACGTGGTCCCCAGGTGTGGGTTTTTGCCGCAGCCCTTAGAAACTATAATGAACTTTCCGACCGGTCCTGAGTTGTCAAAGAGCACCCCGGCCACCCGCGCTTCTCGCTATTGAAGAAAGGGAAACGAGATGATCAGGGTTATCTGGGGCCACCGAGTCGGGACTCAGGAAGGGTAGGAACTGACAATTATTTCGGTCTTGGGTCCTCCAGGGGGAGAAAAGTCATGGACATTACCACTCCTGAGCAGAAAAGCTGTTCATGGCACCTGAAAGCTGCCAAAATACTGCATACTGTCCGCATTCACTATTTTGAGACTCTAGGTCCTTGGAAGGTCCTCCAGACCGTTACCGTGCAAACCGCACCCAGAAGGCAAGTCTTGGCATCTGCACCATTTTCTTTCTCGCTGTCCTGCATGGATACCTGCAGGGTCCACTTCTCATACTCCTCTGGGACTTTCTTGGATTGTTGTAATGTGACATCAGAGCACTTTCCCCCGTGTGTCTCTATCTGTTTGGAGAAGAATAGCAATCTTTGGGGCGTTTCAGGAGGGGTATAGAATGGTCCAAGGTCATTAGTGTTATCTGAAGCTTCCACATATTAAGGAATAAACACTCTAGTAGGATTACAAAAATTTCGAGTGTTAACAATTCTTACAGTTAATAGATGATTCAACCCCAAAATGTGTTGCAATAAAATCATTCTTTGTATGGACAAGATATTTATAGAGTTTATAATGTTTTGTAGAGCGCTTGGCCCAGTAAAGTGATAGAGATTTCAAGTTACATTTTGGATGACTTTTTTTGAGTTTATCAGTGAATCTGTGTGACCTCATGCACCTTGTTTGAGGATAATGTCGACTATCTTCGCATATCGAATTACCTTAATTTTCTTAAATCCCAGGCCTTGGGAGCTTTGGCCCTCTTGGCTCATTTGTGATGTTAAATTAGCAGTTTCTGGAGCACAGAAATGGAGTCTTTTATACAGTCTTTTTTTCCCTATCCACAGAATTACATCTGGCAAATAGTAGGAGCTCAATAAAAACATGCTGAATTTCTCAAATACATATATTTTTGAATTTTGCTGTCATTTTTAATATGGGTATTATTTAACTCAAAGATTCTTTTATCCTGTGAAAATCTGATTATGGGCTTGTTCTCTTCCTCTTTCCCTGGAAGCAGGAAGATGGTGGCTAAACCATCATGGTTAGTGTTGGGTTGAGTGGTAAGAGGAGATCGCCAAGGCTCAGTCACCCAACCCAGTGGAGGGAGACACAATCTTCAGGAAGATCACTGGCAAGGATCTCCAGCCAAAAGAATTCTTGAGGATGACTGGTGTCTTGGTGTCAATGACCTTTCCCCTCAAGCATCAATGTCCTTTCTGGGGATACCTAAGAAACAGATATCCCAGATATCTGTAGCAGAAGATCATGATGAAAGCCTTGGACAGTTAATGATTATTGACGAGAAATGTGCTGCTGATATGGGCCTGGTTATGGCCGTGAATGATGGTTGGGGCCGGGGGAGTCAATCCATCTATCATTTCAACTGCATGTTTTTGGAGGTGGGCAGATGAATTGGCTTCCTGGTTTAGCGGGCTAAAGGGATCATTTTCTCTTCTCTCTGAAGTGATCAAGTTTGCAAGTTCCAATATGTTAGTCTGCTTACTTGTGCCTGTATATGTTGAAGTTGAAGTTGAAGAAATAATTTTTAAAAACCCTATACATTATAAAAGATATTATTGTATAGTTTATGATAAAAACAAATAAAAAACAAAGACACAATCAAAGACAGGACCATAAACTTGAAAACTGCAGAGATTTTTTTTTTTTTAAGATTTTATTTATTTATTTGACAGACAGAGATCACAAGTAAGCAGAGAGGCAGGCAGAGAGAGAGGAAGGGAAGCAGGCTCCCTGCTGAGCAGAGAGCCCGCTGCGGGGCTCCATTCCAGGATCCTGAGATCATGACCTGAGCAGAAGGCAGAGGCTTTAACCCACTGAGCCACCCAGGTGCCCCCTGCATAGATTTTTTTGTTTCTGGCTAGAAAATTTGATTGTATTACTCCTCTGATCAAACTTGGTGATAGTTTCTTACTGCCCATAGAGGAATAAAATCGAAAACTGTTTGCACTGCATATTAACTTCCTTATGATTGTCCCTTTCCTTATCTCTTCTTCCACAGCTCAGTATTATGTTGGAAGACCTAAAATTTCAAGGACTCCTTTGACATCTTTGAATCTTACAGGGCCCTAAACACTCCTGGGAATTCACCTGTTCTCATAGGATATGCCTTCTACCTCACTAATTCCTCTATCAATCAGACCAGGTGCATCCCAGCCCCTCAGCCTAATGGATTTCGCCTCTCTGTTGGTTCTGGAAGGAAGAAAATAAGCCAGTTCCATCTTTTGGAGGAAGCCAGTGGTCACTCTTCTCTGTCTGCTACAAAGCTTACCTCCCACAGCCCTTGATGGTCACTCAGGAGCGTGACCTTAGCCAACTTGCGTGCCATGCTTTGCCCTCCCCCTCCAGGCTGTGAGTATATGTGACTGGTAAACAGCTACCCATCTCATCTGCCAAGTGTTGAGCATGGTGAGTCCTGCCATCTGGCATTGTTTAGGGCGGAGGACCGCTCCTTCAGCTATAGGGTGAATGGGAGATGATCAGAATACAGCCATTGTACTTTTCTCCCCAAATCCTTCTCCTCCAATCTCCCTCACTGCCATGCTTGAGCACACTGAATGTTTTGTAGTTCTCTAGAGACTCTTAACTGTTATGCCTCCTTGTATTTATTTATTTGTTTATTTCCCTATCTAGAAACCTCTTCTTGTCTACCTTGCCAACCTCTTAATCATTCTAGTTTCGACTCTAAATCTGCCACCTTTTCCAAATTGGTGCATTGTCAGCGCAAAGGTAATGCAGCAAACCTATTTTACTCAAGTTTTCACAGATGTCTGTAGCCATGGTGATGACCCTTGGTCACACTCTGTAAACTAAAATACTGGAATGTTCACTTAATTACTGCATTATGATGCTATCCTGTGTACCTGTAGCAGTGGGTCACTATGAACCAGGTTGTCAGAATACTTAATCAGAATCTCTCTCTCCTGCTGTGTCTGCACTTTCCCCTATGCTGTAATAAATCTTAACTTTGAGTATATGTTCAGTCATGGGAGTCCTTCTAGAAATTCATCCAATTACCGGTTGATCATGGGGCTATCAGGAACAATCATTTTTCCTTATTCTCACTACATTTGGTGTATAATCTTTTAAAAGAAATGTCTTATTCTACTATACATACTTGTTTGTAAGCACATCTAGACTGTAGGCTACTTAAATACTTTTCTTTGTGCTTAGCACAGTATCTGACACATAAATATCTGAATAGGGATCTTTTCTGAGAAATATATAAAACATACACTTTAAAAAATGAGCATAGATAACAGTCCTGTTAGAGACTGCAAAGGAAGGCAGCAGCGACCACATAAGTGGTTTTCTCAGGTCACAGTTCCATCGTCCCACCAAAACTTTACACTCTGGCTCAGACTGTTATTTATTTACCTCGAAGATTAAGACTCTCGAATCGCAAAGGTTTGGCGCTGGGATGGCCCGGTAGATTTCTTGTGTATCTCTCTAGCCCCATGGCTACAAATACCTAACAAGTGGGGCTTTCTGAATCACGTATAGAAGATTAAACTTATCTGGACTTCCATCCCTGCCCTCACTGCCACACTCAGCTTATTTTAGCGCTTCCCCGGCTTCCTAGGGCAATGAGACTGTCGTGATAACTGGTGGCAACTATAGCACTATCACTTGGGCAACCCCTAGAAATAACGTTTATTATGGGAAGACATATTAGTTAATAATAATTGTCCTTTGCCGACGTTCTGTTTATCTCTAGAGAATGTAAAGTTTCACGTTTATTTTCAGGAAGTCATTTAAACTCCGGAGTTAGACAAAACAACACAACACAACACAACAACAACACAACACAACACAACACAAAATTCTAGCTCTGTTTTCTTTCCGTGTCGTGACACTAAGCTACAGAACTTCAGCTGAGGTGGTGTAGTAGCAAAAACCGTGCTAGCAGAGGATGGTTTCGATCCATCGACCTCTGGGTTATGGGCCCAGCACGCTTCCGCTGCGCCACTCTGCTCGTTGGAATAAGGCTTTCCTAGTAATACTCTTAACTGTGTTCTGAGGCTATTCCTCCTATTCGAAGAACACACGCACGGTCTTCTGTTTGCTTCAACCCTTCGGCTCCCACGAGCTGCCAGTTCTCTTAGGAGTAATATCGCTACCAGAATCAAAGAGAGAACAAAGTAGGCGCAGAGAAGGCAACATGAGCACCCTGTTACGATTTCGGACGCAGAAGAGAGGTGGCAGGATACACAAGAGAATGACAAGCGGAAAGGAAGGCGGGCTTCCGCGCGGCGGGCGAACATTCCGCTTCGGGGACCCTGACCAGGCGCGCGTTCGTCTTTGGGAAGAACACTCTCCGGGCTTGGTGACGGAGGTGCCGCCTGGACGCATGAGCCCGGCGCCGAGGCCAGCGGAGGGAAGGGCCGGTCCCCGGGCGCAGGAAGGCCGGGGGCGCCCAGGCCCACGCAGACGCCTGCGCGATCGCACAAGGCACGCCATGCGGCAAGACAGTTAGTGCCTAACGCTCCTTTCTTTAGTCTTACGCGGTTCAGGGATCCGAAATCCCCAGGCGGGGACCCAGGGCGCTGTAGCTGTCCCTGCAGAGGGCACTGTGGCCGAGGGGGAGGCTGTCCGCTGGGGCCCAGCCTCCGTGATGTCACCGAGCTCGCCGCGAGGGGCGGGGCCGGGCAACGGCCGTTCCCGCGCGCGCGCGCTTCCAGTCTTCAATTAGGTCCGCAATCCGCACATATAAGGCGGTTGCTCTCACTGCTGCTGGCTATTCTTCGAGAACTCTTTTAGCATCGTAATCATGTCTGGTCGCGGTAAGGGCGGAAAGGGCCTGGGCAAAGGGGGTGCTAAGCGCCACCGTAAGGTGCTGCGCGACAACATCCAGGGCATCACCAAGCCCGCCATCCGGCGGCTGGCCCGGCGCGGCGGCGTCAAGCGCATCTCCGGCCTCATCTACGAGGAGACTCGCGGGGTGCTCAAGGTGTTCCTGGAGAACGTGATCCGCGACGCCGTCACCTACACGGAGCACGCCAAGCGCAAGACGGTCACGGCCATGGACGTGGTCTACGCGCTCAAGCGCCAGGGCCGCACCCTATACGGCTTCGGGGGCTAAATCCGATCTCACCTGCAATGCTTCTTACCCAAAAGGCCCTTTTCAGGGCCGCCCATCTGTCTCTTGAGAGAGCTGCAGCCTTCCTTACTCCGTTTTAAGCCTTGGTGTTTGAGTCTTTAAAACTTAGAGGGTTATAGAGATTGCAGTTATTGCTTGGTGTGTTGACTTAACCTGGTTGCTTTCGAACTCGGGAGTTCACTTCATTGTACTGTTTTTGCTTCGCGGCAGTCGGGTCTGTTTAAGCCGCCCCCAGAGCGTGTTTGTGGCGGCAGAGAGCTCACGTGGCATTGTCTGCTTTCCCACGGGGTTGCCTCTGTTCTCGAGTACTTCGGGGATAGAAATGCACGCTCGGATCTTGATGTCTAGGAAGTGGGGATACCCGGTGGGCAGGCTGCGGGCCGGCCTTCGCCGGGCTTCCGTGCCCAAGATGGCGGGGCGGGCGAGGGACAAAGGGAGCAGGCCAGCGGCGCCCGGCGGCGGGGGAACAAAGAAGAGTTCCCGCGGAACGGCAGGCTCCGCCCCGGTCCCGGGTTGGCCGCGCTTTTCCCGCGGGCTCGGAGGTCCCGGAGGCACTCCCGGGGGTGGGGGGTGGGGTGAGGCGGAGATATACTCGCGGGGAGACAGCTAGTGTTTAGCATAGCCCCCGAAATTTTCTGAGTTTGAAAATCTCACGTAGATAAGGTTGTTACGTAATGAGTGGGACTTTTTAAAACCTGTACATACAGGCATCGGGATTCTTCACCCCAAATTACTAAGTGTAGGGAAGGAAATAGCCCTCTTCCTTCAAGGTCTAACTGGATTAAAATTTACACGAGACGTATGAACAGGAGAAAAAATGCAATTTTATTACCTGCGTGCAGAGGCCCAATAATAAAATTGAGACACAAACGACTGAGGCAGGCAGTTTTTGTACCTTTTAGACAGAAAACAATACATCGGTGAGGAATTATAGGATTAAAAACATGTAAATAAACCTTTAATATAACTTTTTTTTAACCTTTATATAACTTTTAAATTAAAATTTACTGCACCGACCTTACTTTCACTTTTACAAAGAGTAGGGAAAATAGAGAATAGAGAAAACTGGGACAGACTGATGATACTAACCATAGATGAGCATTTGGAAACCAATGATTTGTTCGAGTCCTTCATTTCAACATTGAAAAAAGTGTCTCTGAATCAGCTCAGCTAATTGGGGAGGAGGGACAGGGTTAAAGCAGATTTCCTGACAATGTTCCCTATAATTATATCTACTTCTTACTTCCTGGTTTTAAGCCTTATAGTCTATTATTATAAGTAATCCACACATACATGTTATTAATAGAATATTATGAAATAATCCACACAATGAAATTTCTACTTAATATTTTCCAGCAAAGCATCCTTTACTTTTTTTTTTTTTTAATTTTATTTATATTTGACAGAACAAGCAGGGGGAGTGGCAGGCAGATGGAGAGGAAGAAGCAGGACCCTGTTGAGAGGAAGTAGGACATGGGGCTCTATCCCAGGACACTGAGATCATGACCTGCGTTGAAGGCAGGCCCTTGGAGCCAAAGGCAGGCCCTTAACTGCCTGTGCTACCCAGGTGCTCCTCCTGTACATTTTTTTTAAGGCAAACAACCAAGCAGATGTCAATCAATAGATGAATTGTGATATAATCAGGCATAATCACACAATCTAACATTGCTCCTAAAACAAATGAGCTTTAGCCACATGTAACAAATGGCAACTCATTGTTCCCTGATAAAAGCAATTCCCAGAAACTAGATGCAGTGTAATACTGTCTTGATCCACCTAGGCTAATTATGCTGTGATGAACAATCCCCAAATCCCAGTGATTTACTATGATAAAGGTTCACATTTTGCTCGTAATATTTGTGCGTCATTTATTTGGTATAAAGATTTCTTATTTCGAGGTTATCTGATTTTCCTTTGAGTGTAATAAGGATAGTTCTTTTATGAAGTGAAATTGATAGCAGTCTTCTAAGTTGTTGGCAACACAGCAGCAATCTTAAGCGTGGCCCTAGAATTCCCTAGTCTGGGAAAGGTTATGGACGGCAATTTCATGATTCTCTTCTTGCTTTAAAAGTGCAGCTCCTTTTCTGAAGATGATTCTTCAGACTGGCCAGATGCTACAGTGAAATTAGGCAAAGAAAACTGGAGGCATGAGAACAAAACAGGAATAAAAAGTTCCTACTTAGCTCTTGTGTGAATTTCCAGGGTCCCTTCCTTAATAACTCAACATCCTGTTCAATGAGGTACCCTTAGTACTAGTAAGACATGAGGAAGTCCCTGGAAAATGAGACACATATTGCTTGAATTGGCAGGCAGAGGCCTGGAAGTCTCACAGCCCAGGTTGTCCTCTAAAGAGTTCACAGGGTCCAGAGATATTCTAAGGAGTGGTTTAGACTCTTAGTAAGGGGATATAGATCACTCATCCTGCCAGACAAGGAAATCTAAATAGTGTCACTTGCTGGTAGTTTTAGTGGCCTACTGCCTTGTTCAAAGCCTCAAGACTCAGATTCTAATATGGGCAGGACCACGGGCACCTTCCTGTGGGACCTGGGCACACTTCAACCAGAGGCTTTAGCTACAGTAAATATTTTGGGAGACTTTCCTCTGAGTAGGTACTGTCCTAAATGCTTTACTGTGTTTTTTTACTGATCATTCTGCAATTTCATGGTAGTTACTGTTCATTATTCCCATTTTAGAGGTAAGGAAATGCTCGGGAAGGTTTAAGAAACTGGCCCAAATTTAGCATTGAAATAGGCCATCAGGAATGTATCATGTCCTAAGGGATTCTTCCTTAAGGCACGCTTGTATATGTCTTTTCATGAACTGTTTTCAAATGCACTTAAAATTAACTTTGGAGAGAGCCTGAAATGGATGCCTTAATTACCTGCGGGGCTTAGAGAATCTTCTTCACAAACCCCATTACAAACCCGAGTCACTTATGTAGGAAACGGTTGGGGTTCAGAGTTGATGTCCAAGAAAGAATTCTTGAGACGTCTTTGGTGCAAAAAGGTGGTTTTATTAAAGCACGGGACAGGACCCCTGGGCTCAAAGAGCTGCAGTGGGGCCATGAGGCTTGGCCCATTGTATGCTTTCAAGTTGGGAGGGGATAAGGGGCAGCACAAGCTTTCAAGATATTTTGGAAAGACAGTTTTCAGGACCTTGAGGGAGCTAGCTATTGTTAGGAAAAAGTCATTTATTACTACTTAGTAAAAAGTCATTCATGAGACTCTTCAGATGTATTATCAGTGGATCATATGTTTGGAGAATGATCGCTAACAGATATCTTGGTGGGGGTAGAGAAAAAAGTTTCCAAGAGAATTTTTATGTATTGAAGTAGACTTACAGGATTCTGGGGCATTGCCATAATGTTAAACTAAGATTGCCTCTGGCAAGGTATTAATGTGGAGGCAGCTGAGCTCCCAGAGGAAGGTCACTCCACCTGCTTCAAGGACTTGTCAATAGGCTGTAGGAAGTAAGGAAATTTAATGTTTTCTTTTGCCTTGCTTTTCTTTTCCCACATCACTTATATTAATGTTCATAGAGATCTACTTTGTAGAGATTTGTAGATTAAAGACATGTAGCTAATAAGGAGAAGCAGATTTCTGAGCTGTTATACATTGTCACTGCTCGTGGTTTTCCCCCTACAGCACAGTGCTCAGAAAAGCCAAAGTTGCTGCCCAGTGATCCTTAGTTTCCATATCTTGTTTTATACTTTGGCTGGTTTAAACTGTGCTATGCATCAAAGCACAAGTGTTATCTCCTGGTCAGTTTTACTTTTCTTTTATTCTAATGGTCAGTTTTCCCTCTGAGCCTGTTACCCCATTCCTATGATTGCAACCGGTCTATAGTTTGAGAAAAAGTCAACAGTCCTTAGATGGGGATTCAGATCCCATTTTTACTTATTTATGTAAAGGGCTACTTAACCTTAATTTCTCAGGTCATTCCCTTGTAAAATGGGAGATTCCATTTTGTAGGGCTGCAGGCTGAAATCAGGCAAAGGACAAGCACACGAATGGTAATTCCTTTTTAACTCTTCTCCCTTAAAATCCCAGGGAATGAGGATGTGACTGAGGACAAGATCATTCGGGACACGGAGAGGTTTAGGGAGAACTCTGGGACTCCATGGGGCTGAGGAGTGAAGAGGCTGAGAAATTGAGGCAGATCCCTCATTTAATGCCTTCCCCGCAACCCCCACCCCCCCCACCCCCCCCACCCCCCCACCCCCCGCGTGCCAAATCACAGATGGAGACTTTGACTTGCTTCCTCCCCCTTCATGTTTTCCAGTTGTAGGGAGGGTCTCTTAAACCCCTGTATATTCAGCAGGGTAGAAAACTAGTGGAAAAGTTTCTGACCTTGCCAAGAGACAACATTTAGCTACGTTAAAAAATGTGCGGTGAAGAACTTAGTGGAAATGGAAGGACGCGCGTTTGAGAGACTGGCAGACACCCACTGTGGCTTAGAAATGCAATTTGCAGACAGTACCCTGCTCCATTAGATGCCGCTGTAGCCACTCGCAAGCTCACAGAAAGTTAAGGGGGGGGGGGGTAGTTTCGTTTTCTCAAGAATGCTTACTGTTTTGACTTAGCACGACTCAAAACCAGGAGAACGATTTTCCCCTTCTTACTCCCGATCTAGAGTAATGGGAGAACGAAAACTGAAAACGGGAAAGCCCTCTCTCGAAGTGGGAGCATCATAGGTGTATTGCTTTTAGTAGCTATGGAGTAGCGAAGCAGAATGCATGGTAGTCTTCGTTACTTACAGATTTATTCCTTGGTGATGATCTCATGCCGGAAATTTGTGTTCCCAGATGGCTATTAGCGGCCAAAATTGAATCTTGATAGTCTATTTTCACCAAGCTTGTAAAGTTACAGCTCTTTGAGTGACAACGTGGGTGGCTCTTAAAAGAGCCTGATGACGCTGGTGCTGCTGAAAGAGACAAGTTCACTTGGAGCTGGTGTACTTGGTGACGGCCTTGGTGCCCTCGGACACGGCGTGCTTGGCCAGCTCCCCGGGCAGCAGCAGGCGCACGGCCGTCTGGATCTCCCTGGACGTGATGGTCGAGCGCTTGTTGTAGTGCGCCAGGCGGGACGCCTCGCCCGCGATGCGCTCGAAGATGTCGTTGACGAACGAGTTCATGATGCCCATGGCCTTGGACGAGATGCCGGTGTCGGGGTGCACCTGCTTCAGCACCTTGTACACGTACACCGAGTAGCTCTCCTTGCGGCTGCGTTTGCGCTTCTTGCCGTCCTTCTTCTGCGCCTTGGTCACCGCCTTCTTGGAGCCCTTCTTCGGGGCGGGAGCCGACTTGGCTGGCTCAGGCATGACACTGAGGGAACACCTTTACCACAAAACGAAAGATGAACGCCCACGGCCCAGCGCCCTTCTATTTATTTGGTGTGTATGCAAATTAGGGATTGCAGAATTGAACTTTCTGATTGGTTTCTGAAATATCCTAAACCCTGATAGGCTCCTTGATTATCCTAAATTCTCATTGGCTCTTCTCCCATATATCCAACTTTAAGTAAATTGACCTTGCAACCGTAAACGCCCTATGTAAATTAGGAGTATGGTTGATTTGGATGGGCCTCTTGATTGGCTGGAGTTTGTGTTGGGCCCACAGCATAGGCTGCTTTACCAAACCGCCGCACACTATAATTGTCTAGCTTCTTGCCTAGTTGAGCCGCTCGTTTTTTCTTGGTGTGCTGTTTTATTGGTGGCTATGTCTGGACGCGGGAAGCAGGGCGGCAAGGCTCGCGCCAAGGCCAAGACGCGCTCGTCGCGGGCGGGCCTGCAGTTCCCGGTGGGCCGCGTGCACCGCCTGCTCCGCAAGGGCAATTATGCGGAGCGTGTCGGGGCTGGCGCGCCCGTGTACCTGGCAGCTGTGCTCGAGTACCTGACGGCCGAGATTCTGGAGTTGGCGGGCAACGCGGCGCGCGACAACAAGAAGACGCGCATCATCCCGCGCCACCTGCAGCTGGCCATCCGCAACGACGAGGAGCTCAACAAGCTGCTGGGCCGCGTCACCATCGCGCAGGGCGGCGTGCTGCCCAACATCCAGGCCGTGCTGCTGCCCAAGAAGACCGAGAGCCACCACAAGGCCAAGGGCAAGTGAATCTACTTGCATAGTGGTGTGTCCAGTTAAAACTTTTCTCACCCAAAGGCTCTTTTCAGAGCCGTCTACATTTTCACAAAAACTTGTAACCAAATCTAAGTGCTGCTTTTCTGTTCTGTAAGCCTTAAACGGTTACAATCTGTAGACCAATGATAGCTCACTTACTGCAGCTTGTTTTGCTGTATCACCTTTGTGACCCAGGGAAAGGGTATTTCCTTAGTATGTAAGCAAGGGCTTAATATAGCTGAAGGGAAGGTATTTACAGTGATGGTAACGTTTACAAAACCTTGTCTCTAGATGGGACAGTTTGACTTCGTGCTCCCTGAGTCGTGTTTATGAGACGTAGTTAGGGAAGCTAGAAGAAAAGGGGTAGTTAAGTGAACCACTGTGGAAGGGGTGCTAGCCTGGAATGGCTTAGCCATTGAAAACAGAGCTGTAGGACCGGAAATCGGCGCGAGCTGTTTCAAGGAGGAATTGAATGAAGCTTTATTAGCCCCTGTACGGGAGTCGGTCACCATTTGTTGCACACTGGTAGATCCTCTAGGCGTTTTCCGTGTGGTTTCCCAGCGTGGAGATAGGAAGGGTCAGTCCAGGCCACTCAAGGTTCGGTTCAGTAAAAGTAACCATCTAAGAAAGCAAAAAACCATGTTTGTTCTGAAAGCGCGACCCTCGGAATCTTAGGCCCCACTACGTAGATCCCCAGAATTGGCATCTTCCCCGATCCCCAGGTGATTTCTTTAGAATTTGAGACGAAGCAGAATATTTAACTTCTCGGATCGCGGACTACAATAAAGACGGAGATTGGAATGTTGACTAATTCATCCAATCGCAGTCTAGTAGTAATTCACCAATCACGTTGTTCCCTCTTTAGCCAATGGTTTTATTGCGCGGGACTTTTGAAAAAATGCAAGACCAATCGGAAGGTTTCTGAGTCTATATAATGGCAACGTCTTCAGGCTTACACCTCAGTTTAGTTTTACTCCTGAACTCCGCGTAAGATGGCTCGCACGAAGCAGACGGCGCGCAAGTCGACCGGCGGCAAGGCCCCGCGCAAGCAGCTGGCCACCAAGGCGGCCCGCAAGAGCGCGCCGGCCACGGGCGGCGTGAAGAAGCCGCACCGCTACCGGCCCGGCACGGTGGCCCTGCGCGAGATCCGGCGCTACCAGAAGTCCACCGAGCTGCTGATCCGCAAGCTGCCGTTCCAGCGGCTGGTGCGCGAGATCGCGCAGGACTTCAAGACCGACCTGCGCTTCCAGAGCTCGGCCGTCATGGCGCTGCAGGAGGCGTGCGAGGCCTACCTGGTGGGGCTCTTCGAGGACACCAACCTCTGCGCCATCCACGCCAAGCGCGTCACCATCATGCCCAAGGACATCCAGCTGGCGCGCCGCATTCGCGGTGAGAGGGCGTAAAGCTTTCCCACCCTTGGTCCCATTAACTCAAAGGCTCTTCTAAGAGCCACCCACTTCACTAAGATGGCTGTAATAGTGACTGCCAACGGTCGAGGTATTAAATGCCTTTTGAGGTTATCTTTAGAGTTTGTTCCCGATATTTAGACTTGGTTGGAGGCGTTTGGTTCCAGAATTGAAAGTTCCTGAGCTGTCTCCTACATCCCTTGGCCCTTCAGGCATGACCTGGGCAGATCATAATTTAACTTCTGACTGAAGAAATGCTATGTAAGTCGCATCCGGCAGACTGAGAGTCGCTTTGACTTGGGAAGGGGAGTATCCACTTCTAGGTTTTTGCTAGTGTAGTAGTTCTAAGCTTCTCTGGGCACAGGTGGAAGGTGGGGTTCTTTATCCACAAGAGGTTGAAGTTGGGTGAAGGTGGCTGTTGGTTTGCTACTGCTCCTTGCAAGGGTGAGTTCCCACAAGTTTTTGGTCTATGATAGTTGAAAAACGAGCTATGTATGTGGTCAAGTTCGGTTGTCTTCACGTCTGGAGCCAATTTGCTCAATTCCCATCTCTATAGTTAAAAGTGAAAGTTTGGGCTTTCCTATAACAACGCTTTACAGGCAGAAAGCTGACTGGTAGTTGACTTAAAGAATTAAGATAATTTCTAATGAGCTTACTGGGAGCAGAGCCCAAGACAGTCATGATGACTTTTACATTCTGACCCATCAAGTGTCTAACCACAGTGACTTGGACATCAGCTTGCTAGAGATGAAGATCATCAGAAACCCCCCTGCATTCACCCCCCCCCCCCACGGGGCTAATCAGGATCTACACTACCAAATTCACCTCATGTGGTTGACACTAACACTAGTTAAGAAGCCCATTTTAAAGTTGCCTCATCCAGAAAGCAACTGTGAACTCTCACCAGGAATGAGCATTTGTGAATAGCAGGTTTATTTATATCAGAATTAAAAGTAATCTAAGAAGAACTTGGGAAGATAGTTTGATTTAATAGAGATCAGTGATCTCAATATTGAGTGCACATTACAGACCATTGGATGTTTTATAAAAAATATCTTTACCTGGGTCCAATCAGTAGCATTTTAATTGTAGTCTTGTGGGGGTGATCCCAGGCAAAAGTAATCAAAACTCAGGTGCTTCCAATAGGTCATTAGGGTCAAGAACAGATGCTACATAAATTCTAATCACGTGCTTAGCTCCTGTTAGATTTGACTCCAGGTTTAGCAAGGAATTATCTACAGAACGAAGCTTTCTTGTAGCTTGCTTTCAGAGAGAATGTCATGCTCTCCAAAAGATGATTTTCTGGCTTGCTTGAGGACTGTTAGTCTCTGCAATGAATCAAACAGTATCTGGCTTTTATAGCAATTTCTTAGGATGGGGCTCTGTATATAGACTATGTATAGACTCTATGTGAGTCTGTGATGAGATCTGCTTTGGGCGATGGGCAATGCCAAGTTTTAAGGGATGCTACAAAGAGGAACCTTCTAGACTTCCTGGCAGACAACCTGTGGAGACCTGTCTATCTTCCCATTGGACACAAAGTCCTGTTTGCTTATTCATCTGGTTTTTCTCCATGGTCATTATTGATTAATCGATTTGTCTTTTTTTTCCCCCCTAATCTTTTCATTTAAAAAAAAAAAAAAACTTTTTTATTATGTGACATTTCATAATATAAGAAAGCAGAAATATTAGCTTCATAAACTCTATGTACCCTGCACCCAGCTTCCACATCACCAACACTAGCCAGATGTTTTATCCATGTCTCTTCCGCCCACTGCCTTGATCATCATAAGGGGAATGGTATCATTTTTGCTCTCAATACTTTAAAACGTGTCCACCATTTTAAAACCTCATTATGCTATGATGATTCCCCTAACAAAAATTTCTTAATGTGGGTGAATTTAAAAATTGTTTTTACTCCACCTATCTTTGTTGAGAATATGCAATGTGCCAGATGATTTTCTGTGCTTTGGGAATAGACTCAGAACCATCCAGACAGAATCCTTTGCCCTTGTGGAATTTACATGTCAGTCTAGGAGGCATCTACCTGATACATCAGGTAGATGCCACGTGTAGTATGTTAAACGGTAAGTAGGAGAAAAATAAAGCTACAGTAAGTGTCATGGGGAGCTGAGACTTAGATAAGGCCACCTGTGCAGATGATACTAAGAAGATCCGGAATCAGTGGAAACTCAGAGACTTGAAAGATGCCTCTGCCTTCGGCTCAGGTCATGATCTCAGGGTTCTGGGATCGAGCCCCGCATCAGGCTTTCTGCTCAGCAGGGAACCTGCTTCCCCCCCACCCCCCCTTGCTTTTTCTGTCTACTTGTGATCTCTCTCTCTCTGTATCAAATAAATAAGTAAAATCTTAAAAAAAAAAAAAAAAACAAAAACCTTAAAAAAAAGGGGGAGGGTTGCCGAACTGCCGGGAGGCTTCCTGCAATGGGCAGGGCACAGTCGGAGGAGATGAAGGCAGAGAAACAAAGAGAAGACGATCAAGTAGGGGCTTGTAGACGTTAGCTCTGAAATGTAAGGTCTTGAGAGGAGTTGAACACAGGAATTTCTGTGTCTGTTTCTCATATAAGCAGGTTCTGCTTTAGGTAGTCTCCACTGGGCTCCAGTACAAAAATTAGGGCCCAGTTTTCTTCCTGCTTTGTGCAATCCAGACCTTGAAAATAGAAATTGACCTTGAGCATTTTATAGTTAGAAAAGGGAAAATCTCTGAAAGTTAGGGGTTAAATGCAATTCATATCCTGGTCTTTCAAATTCACTAGTTTGTCTTGCCACAGGCAAAATGTTTACCCTCAGGCAACAGACTCCATTTATTCGGATTACAAATGCAAATGTCTTCAGGGTCTAGGCAAGAGGTTCTTGGGTCAGAACCCGGGGGTGAGCTCCCCACCTGTACTACACTGGGGCCGTCAGCAGCGGTGTTTCTGGAGGTATCCAAGCCCTCCGATGGCCAGCTGCGAGCTCTGGGTAACAGCTGTTTCTGTTACCATTTGCCCAAGAGGGGTGTTAATGAAACCTGCTGTGGAAATTGTGTAGGTAAAAGAGCTATGACTTCATTAGTTCAAAAGTGTACTTTGGTGCCTACATTGATCATTTTATTTAATCCACCCAATAACTCTGTGGGTTAGGGGCCATTAGTAGCCCAAATACAGTGTCGAAGAAGCATAGTGAGGGGAACTCCTTCACACAGGAGTCATTTGAATAATTGTCATGGAATTATTATCTCTGCTGCTAGAGAATGGAGGACCATTTTGTTTTGCCTGCATGGTTTAATTTTACTCCATCCATCCATCCATCCATCCATCCAAAACTTTTTGAGTTTTCTAGGGGCCGGAAACAGAGCAGTGAGGAACATGGGGAAAGTTCCCTGTGTGGAGCTCACAGATGTTCTCGCTGTGGGAGACCGGAAATAAACAAAAATCAACAAATACTGTATTTTGGTAGGAAAGAGATTAAAGAGATTAAGGAAACAGGCCAAGAAGATTAAGGACTGCGGAGTGGGGTGGGAGTGGGAGTGATGGGTAGTGGAGGCTTGTAGTTTTAAATAAGGTGGGTGGGGAAGACTTGGCCACTCAGATGCCCCGGAGCAGGGGCAGAATGCCTGGGAGGGAGACAGGTCTGCACACACCTGTGAGAGGATCCTTCCACGGAGAAGTTACAGTGATGACTAAACAGATCCTAAGTTGGGAGCATACTCAGCGCTCTGATAGACAACTAGATAGAACCGGGGTCGTCTTCTGTTTTCTCAAGCTGGAGTTGCTAGGTAAATTCAGTATTGATTCACATGTTTTTAATGTTTTTAAAAAGTATGAGTCCAGGTTCCTGAGCACACCAAATTTGGATGCTGATCCAAGAAGCAAGGGCAGGAATAAAGGAGTGTTAATCTCCTGGAGGACTGCCAGCCTGATTCAAAGACAACAGTTATTTATTTTTTTTAATTTTTAAATTAACATAGAATGTATTATTAGCCTCAGGGGTACAGGTCTGTGAAGCGCCAGGTTTACACACTTCACAGCACTCACCATAGCACACACCCTTCCCAAATCCATAACCCCACTGATGAGGGAGCAGGAGGCTGGCTGAGGACAAAGCAAAAGCTGGCACCTTGAACCCCCTCTCCACCCACTCCCCTCAGTAATATGTGTGACATTCCTCAGGCACCTCTGGCTGCCCTAAAAGAAAAACAAATAGTTAATTTGCAGAGATCACAGTCCTGCAAGACAGGAGTCTCCCTTGGTTTACCAATGTCCTAGAGATTTACAACAAAGAAGCTAACAACAGCACAATTTCCAGAGGCAAATAACTCAGTTCCTCAAGCCCTAAATAAAGTAAATTTCTTCTAAACCCAAATCTCACTAACAAGGACACTTAATAGGAGAAATGTGAAACTTTATCTCTAGATCTCCAAGATAGTGTCGAGAATCATTCCCAAGCATATGGCCCACTGACATACATCTAAAGGGTCTCACAAGAAGATTTTTACTACTAGTAATGAATAACTTTTCTCCCAACAATAGCTAGCCCCTCAAGGTCCTGAGACCTTGCTTCCAAAATTCCTTAGAGACTAACATCACCCTCTTTGTTCTCACCTACCCAACTCCTGTGTATATAATCAGCCACTCCTCAGGATAATGGCGCAGCATCTCCGTCTGCCCATGGGTCCTGTCCCCGTGCTCTAATAAACCACCTTTTTGCACCAAACACGTCTTAAGAATTCTTTCTTATCCGTCGCCTCCGACCCTCACCCCACTGAACCTCACCTAGGTTCAAGAACTTCATCACCACCACCCTCTCCCTACCCGCCTCCCCCCAGCAACCCTCAGTTTGTTTTGTGAGATTAAGAGTCTCTTATGGTTTGAAAGACAACAGTTATTAAGGAAAAGAGTATTAACTGTGTGAGAATTTATTTAAAATAAAAAGTAAGAGATCTGAGGTTCCAAATAATCACTGTCATCATTTCTCAGAAGAAAGAGTACAGAAACAAAGTGGTTCTTCACAATTCCTAAGATCACCCAGCTGGTAAACGATGATACAAATTTCAGCCCAAGTAGTGGGCCTCAAATCCCTCCAATTTTAAGCATGTCTTATTGCTGTTTTGTAGTTGTGTACCTTATCATGTCTTCTACAAGATAAGATTTCATGTGCTAGATAACAAAGACCATGGCTGGTTCACCCTTGTGTTTTAATTGAATGATATACGTCCAGTTGAGTGATGTAGGCATTTCAGACATGGAAGGCTCCAAGGAACATGTCAGAGTTTCTCGAAATGTGAGAGCAGAGCTTTTAGCATAAAGACAACACTGACTCTTACAGGAGGTTTGACACATAAACAATGAGTTGACAAAATGAATTGAAGGAGTTGAGAAAATCCACTAAGATAAAAGAGCATAAAAGCCAGGACTGAGGCAGGGAGGACTTGAACTTGTATACCGGATGGTTGGACTTGGAATGCACATTAAAACCAGTGGGCTGCCACTGGACTCCAAACTCAGCCTGATCTTTTTCACGAATCTGACCATGGAGGCCTTCCTCCACTTTCCAACGTGTTTTCTTGATCTTCCAAGACTTGCACTGATTGCCTCTAGCTCAACTGGGATTCCCAATAGCATTGAGCACTCTGCATCTGAAAGAGAAAATCTGATTCTCACTAGAATTGTATCATTTTATTTTCTTCTTAACTGAAGCAAGTACTGCCAATATTTAGAATTCATTTGTGTTGCACCAGGAAGCTCCAGTGTCCTCCTGTAAGAACTCATCAGTTTACCTCTTATTAATAATATTTATAATTTATAATTACCGACGTAAGCAGGAATTACCTACTTATTTCCAGATAAGTAGTTGTCTCCTGAAATGGATTTTCCTTTCTTAGATACTAATCGAACTCCCTAAGTTTTGTGACTGGTGTGGCCATCGACTATTTGTGGCCAACAGTGTATTAGCAAAGGCAGTGTTCCACAGTTCTCAGGATTTCAGTAAATGGCGGGGCTGTCTCCTTACCCTTTTCTTCTTCCTTCAGGATGGGATGTGAACAAGATAGTTGGAGCTGGAGTACACATCTTAGCCTACAGGTAGGAAATTACTTATGTGTTAGATTAGTTTGTAGTGTCGTCAAACACAGTATGAGGCACGCCATTTTTGAGGCACATGGCCTCCCGTGTAGGCTGACAGGGACATCCCAAGCAACCAAACATTTTATGTGGTTGTTGTCTGCAGAGGACAAAGGCGGCTAATGTGGGTGGGTGGGTGGGTGGAACATGGGTGGACAATTTAAGACTATATAAATCCTGACCGTCTCATCACTATTTGGTGTCTCACAAATCCTTGGCACTTCTCGGTCCTTTCCTCTCTTCCTATCTACGTGTAGCGCATGAGCTCTGCTTTCTTTTTCCGCGTGTCACGACTTATGGGCTACTAATTTATGATTTTTGGTAAATACAGCTTTTGAATTATTGTCTACACCTCATAAAATTCCTCGCTTACCTATTTAATACTTCTTAGAAGTGTTTTACTTAGGAATCACCTACTTAACATTTCTTATGAGTTTCATCCATCCAATTTTTGGTCTTGTCTTGGTCCTCAGTAGCAGAATTTAATAGCAGAATGTATTTGAGTCTATTCTCAAATAATAGAGCAAACACACATTACACACAGGGAGAGGAGTTCCCTCAGGAGAGCGGGGCCCCATTCCAGGCCTGAGCTATGTATCTGTATGTGAGAAACAGACTTTTATCTAGTTTAACCAGTAACTTCCAAGATTATCTACTAACAACTCATAGGGGTACATAAAATACAGTCCTTAAAATGACCAACGGGCCAGATTTGCTATGCTAGCATTCCTTTCTGCATTTCAGCACGATAAGATCCTGTATTTTAGTAAGGCATACCACTAGGACTTCTCAAAATCCTCGTGAACCAAAGATGAGACACGGCTAGATCAAAGTGTAACTGTATAGCCTGCGGTTAACTATAGACCATAAATACAAACTCTGGGTGTCTTTTTCTGCACGTCGATTCTCCTCTCTCTTACTGTCTCGTTTTTCCTTATCATTGTCTCTTACTCCACCTTCCTTCCAGAATTGCTTTTCAAGAATAAATCCATTCAGCTTTGGCAATGCTAAAGTGATCTTCAGACAGAGGCTTGCCCCTTCTGTTAGTCTGTGAGGTTGCTAAAATGTCCATTCTAGACGGGGAGCCCTGTGAGGTCAAGGATTGTTGCTATCCTGCTCACTGATCTTTCCCAAGTACCTTTCACTTTCTGAAACTTAATAGGCTCCAATACATGAGGGAATCAATTCAGAGTCCTCGTCCTTCCACTTGACACATCATTTGGGGAGGAATTTGATCTATGATTCTAGAATACTCTGTACTAACCACCACCCTCCCTGCCCCAAACTCCATGACCCAACAGGGAAATGTCTAGAAGGGTGGACTTGTCAAAAGTGAGGACAGTAACTGAAGTATCATGGTTGAGATTAATTTCAAGGTATTTTATAAATCTATAGCTGACATTATAATCTGCTAATGGTTCCTATCAAGCCTCTTAAGGGGAGAATACCCACGCCTGGCTTCTGTGTTGACAGCCAGACATTACCCCCAATAAGAGAGGCACTGTTCCCAGGCTGTTTGCTGCTGCTTCTTCCCCTTCTCCTCCCTGTAAGTCCTGTTTAACCTTTTTCAATTTCAAAGAGGCCTGACTGCCTCTATTACTTGCAAAATAATAGCTAGTCTTGAGTGAGTTCTTCAAAAAACATTCTTTCTTTTCAGTAAAGTTTTCCCCTCAACCACTTCCATTTACTAGAAAGTTAGTTTCTCACACTTCAAGGTATACATTTTCCTGTTTTCCACTAAATAGGTCTCACACAGACCCACCCAGCAGTATGCTCTCTAGACAAGCTTGTCTATAAAGCCCGATATATATTCAACTTGTAGGGACAACTCAAACTTTCACAGCTCCAAGTCCTGAAGAATTTCTGAAATTCTAAACCAAAGTTCAGCAACTACAACTACCTTATCTTTAAAGCAATTTTTTTGTTTGTTCTGCATTTTCTAAAGCCATCTCTGCCCCTGTAAGACAAGCTACTGAGAAAGCAATGATGTGAATGTAGGAGATAGAAATTTTAACTTGGGTCACAGCTTTTCCCTAGTACTAAGAGTTCAGTACTAAAGCTCTTTAAGTTGAAAGAATGAGTGGCTCTGAAAAGAGCCTTTGGGGTTGGGTATGTATCAAGAAGCTTACTTGGCGGGCTCACTTGGAGCTGGTGTACTTGGTGACGGCCTTGGTGCCCTCGGACACGGCGTGCTTGGCCAGCTCCCCGGGCAGCAGCAGGCGCACGGCCGTCTGGATCTCCCTGGACGTGATGGTCGAGCGCTTGTTGTAGTGCGCCAGGCGGGACGCCTCGCCCGCGATGCGCTCGAAGATGTCGTTGACGAACGAGTTCATGATGCCCATGGCCTTGGACGAGATGCCGGTGTCGGGGTGCACCTGCTTCAGCACCTTGTACACGTACACCGAGTAGCTCTCCTTGCGGCTGCGTTTGCGCTTCTTGCCGTCCTTCTTCTGCGCCTTGGTCACCGCCTTCTTGGAGCCCTTCTTCGGGGCCGGGGCCGACTTGGCTGGTTCAGGCATGATGAGTATCTGACACCCAAACCTACTAGAGTGAAAGCTGGATGCTGGGTTGGCCTACTTTTATATGGCTTGTATGCAAATAGAGGCTTAATCTGCCTTAATGCCTGATTGGAGCAAATCAGCCAGTAGAAATAGCTTACGCAAATAAGGAGACTTCCTATCTCCTTTCTGATTGGCTGTTTATGTAGCAACAACTTTAGACTCTTTTCTCCATTAGAAAAAAGTGTTTTCAAAACAGCCGGAGTTTAATGTCTCGTCAGTATTAACTATTTATGAGTCTTGTGTCTTGGCAAATCCCCGTATAAAGAGACAAAAGCCTGATATAAATTTACGACCCTCTTTTCCCGCCAAATTGCAGTTACCCGGATACTAATGCAGGAAAGAGAACACAGAAATTAGCTGGATATTTTCAAAGTTATGCCATGGCATTCCCAGTTTGATCAAAGTCGGCAAAATTTAAGGTTTAAGGGTCCGAGGATTGTCACATTTCAACAGCGGTGCGATTTTTTCCCCTAGAACCAGTGTCTGGAAGTGGTGTCTGGAAGTGGCGTTCGGAGTTATGGGATAGGCTGTTTCCACTGCAAAAAATACAACGTTTCTTCAAGGTCAGAAGCTTTGAGAGATGATAAAGGACGAAACTGGACTGGGTCAATCAGGACCAACAGCAGAGCTTCTGAAACCATAGCTCAGAAACTATGAATTTTCATTTTTGTGTCTTCCTAAATTTAATACCGAACAAGGGGATTAAAACAAAACCGATTAAGGCAATCTAAAACAAACTACAGGCTGGATAAGGGACGGAGAACTGTAAGTGATAAGATTAAAAGCACATTACAACAGAAGACTTTCTTAAGTGAGTTTTGGTAGCCAATCACAAGACTCACCAGGTTACTTAATTCACGGCGCGGAATTTGAAGATTCGGACCAATCAGGAGGACGTTGCCTTTATAAATAGGAGCCTGGGCGAGGGACCCTTCAGTTGTAAATCGTGCTTGCAATCTTTCGGCATGGCTCGCACGAAGCAGACGGCGCGCAAGTCGACCGGCGGCAAGGCCCCGCGCAAGCAGCTGGCCACCAAGGCGGCCCGCAAGAGCGCGCCGGCCACGGGCGGCGTGAAGAAGCCGCACCGCTACCGGCCCGGCACGGTGGCCCTGCGCGAGATCCGGCGCTACCAGAAGTCCACCGAGCTGCTGATCCGCAAGCTGCCGTTCCAGCGGCTGGTGCGCGAGATCGCGCAGGACTTCAAGACCGACCTGCGCTTCCAGAGCTCGGCCGTCATGGCGCTGCAGGAGGCGTGCGAGGCCTACCTGGTGGGGCTCTTCGAGGACACCAACCTCTGCGCCATCCACGCCAAGCGCGTCACCATCATGCCCAAGGACATCCAGCTGGCGCGCCGCATCCGCGGCGAGAGGGCCTAAATTTGACTTCCTGGCTTTCTGCCAACTTTAAACCCAAAGGCTCTTTTCAGAGCCACCTAAAATTTCGGCCTGAAGAGCTGTGCCGCACGAGTGGTCTTTCCGCCCTCCCCGCAACCCCCATCTTCTACCGACCCCCGGTCCCCCGACTAAGTGGTAGGGCTTCTAAGGGTGGCGGCCAGTGCTGCTCGGGTGGCATAGGTGTGCCTGCGCGTTTTCGCTGGCTATTCACGGTCCTGCTCTAGCCTTCGCCCGAACCCTCGCCAAACTTCGCGATCCTTCTCTTGACCAGCCTATGTTTCCTCGGAGGCCAATTGCGCTGCGTTCCCAGCAAAGCGTGTTTTAACAAGTATTGGCGTTTTCCTTGGAGCCGTCCATATGGCTGAGGATTTAAAAGGGGTTCCTAAAACCCTGGATTTGAGTGCCTTCAAGTTAGTCATGAAATTATATAGTGGCAAGTAATGTATCCATCCCGGGAAACAATAGATCCAGGTTTAGGAAATCTACGGAACATGCTGTCTCAGCCTGTGCTATAGGTCATCAGGGCCAGTCTGCAAGGTGAGCAGTTGATACATTCAGATAGGCACAGAAATGCGTAAAACGTAATCATGACGGCAATCCATCCAGGCATGGATTTCCACATTTCATTCTCATAGGAGAAAGAATGGATCCTCGAGGAACCTGGAAAGCATCCTAGGGGTTTACAACCTTTGCCAACGTATGCGGCGGCATGTGCACACCTGTGTTCAGGAACTCCTGAGGAGTGGTCCCCGAGAGCATTTGGTGGCAGTCCATTTCTTGACTGAGCAGTACATCCTGTAGTAATGGTCAACTCTTTTGTCCTGTAAATTGGTACCTCAAGTATGGGTTCTGCAGAGTTTTCAGAGGCAGCAGCAGCAGCGCGGGTGGGCAGGGTGGGCAGCAGCCGGTAGGGGCAGGGCACCCCTACCAAACGTTGGGGCTGGAGTAGAAGCTGAGTATCTTCACACCAGGAATTCAGAACTCGTTGTGGCTCATAACTGAAACCTTAAGGTTGTGCAGAATGTGTCTGCACCTTCGTTGTGTGAGAAACATGGAGTTAGTCATTAGGGCAGAACCCAGCCCTTGCAAAGGTAGTGGTGCCTAACCCGTTGTTACTCTTCAAAGAACCAAGGAGGCAACAGCTCTAATGTTTCCTCCCAACAAATTCAGAATCTTATAAAAACCCTAGCGCCATGGAGGATCTGTACATCATTCAGATTTCACAGACATTAGTTGTGGGAACTCCTGGCCTCATCCCAGGGTTTATCCCTTGTTGTGGGGATTACTAAACACCGGAGGCTTTGGGGGAACTAATTGAACAGCTCTGCACATCAGTGAAAACCCAAGTGACAGGAACCACAGAACGAGGGTATTAGCAGTTTATTCAACAAATATTGGAGGTTCTTGGTGAGATAAATCACCCGCTACAGAACCCAGAAGTCAGATTTTGGAAACAACTGAAAATGTCTCTCAATGCAACATTTTGGAACCTTGACACACACTTGCAAATAATAGCAACATATCATGTGGTTTCTTTGTGACTATTAAGAGGGTTATAAGGCCCCCAGTCATCACGGCGTTACTTTTGTATTATAAAAAAAAAAAAATGTAATTGTAAGGTGGAATGCTAGAAACACAAAACAAAACTGGCAAGAATTCAGGGGGGGTTGGGGAGACACAAAACAAAATGTTGTACATGAAAACTCATAACAGCTTTGTTTGCAATAGCCGTAATATTAAGAAACTGCTTCACAGCTTTCAATGGGTGAATTGTTAAATAAATTTTCATGCATCCATGCATGAAATGCTACTCCGCAACAAAAAGGAGGCTAGTGATACACACAACAACTGGGCTGGATCTCAAGGGGATCATGCTTGGTGAAAAAGGACTACTGGGGAGGAAAAGTTTTCCTCTACCCTTGCAGATTCTTTGACTGTACAGTGATACAAAAACAGATTAACAGGAGAAAAATTTAATCATGTGTGTATGGTAAAACTAATGGGTAAAACTGGTGAGAGTTGAAAAGACCGGTAGTCTAGTTAACATCATTTTGCCAGTATTAGTTACCTGGCTTTGATATTGTAACATACACTGGTCATATGGGATATGACCATTAGAGGAAATGGGTGCAAGGGGATCTAGGTTCTACTATGGCAACTTCTTGTGAATCCAGTTACTGCAAAATAACAAGTTAAAACAAACAAACAAAAAAGCTGCTGTGACAAGTCTGTAATGATTGCTACTTTGCATTGCTTGGGATTCTGTGGTTAATTTAAGAAAACAATGTGCTTTCCGCATCCCCCTCCCCCCTCACCGCCTCCCCCCTACCCCCAGCAGCAGTTTTTTGCTTTCCTCTGGCTTTTGCTTTCTTCTGGTGGCATGTCCATTGGGCTGATGTTTGGTTCATTTATGTTGGTACGTGATATTTTATATATTGTTGCCCCTACCTCAAAAGTAAATGGACTTTCAGAATTTGATATTCCTGATCTCCAAATTTTCTGATGTGGTACTTGGCTGAGCTAATCCATGCTCTTTTTGAACATCATAAGTATGTAATAAAAATTTATTTGACAGTTCTATTTATTCTAAGGACATCATTTACATTTTCTTAAAGCTAAGCTACCACATAACTAGCTCAACACATATATTTTTCCTTAGAGTTCATGATAGCTTTGCTTGTGTTACATGCACTAAGCCCACAAAAGGGCTCTCCACTTTCTGTCCTCCATATGAGAAGAACAGACTTTTGACAATTTGCATTCTTTTCCTCTGCAACCCTTCATTGTTGAAATACACATGCTTAATTTGTTAGGTAAAGCACACTATATGTATACATGTGTTGTATTGGAAATGTTTTGAAATCCTTCCAAAATACTTTGTTTTTAAGAATAGAATTCCTGGGCAATGCAAACTTATTGTTTACAAACTAGATGACAGTCATTTGCTTATAATAACTCACTTACCAACTGCTGCTGTACCTTCTTACGGCAAGGCTACCGAAACTCAGGTAAATCAACAGGTTCAATGTTACAGTTTGAAAGCTGCCACTCACTGATCCCAGTCCTGAAGCCTGGCCTGCTGTTCCACGGTATATTTACAAATTCCTTTGCTTCTTGGGGTTTGGGCTTGATTAAACTCCAGTGTGGCAATGATCCAAAAATATATATGGAAAAGATAAATCGTTAAACACGTGTACATATATACGAAGGAGGTCATTTCTTTGTTGTACATGTCTGAAACCTGTATTTAGAGGTTCTTATTTTCCAAATACCAGTAAGTCACCCTATCCCGTGTCTACTTTAGGCCTTACAAGCAAACGGGGTGAGGACTCCGAGCGATTTCCCAACTTTTCTGGTGTTTTTAAGTTTTCACAGAGTTCTGCACAATTGTTACTAAAGGGACTGCTGGGGGGCTGGTATTAAGTCCTATACAGTCCTTTGATTGTAATTCCCAGGAACTACTTACTGTGTCTGGTCGTGGCAAGGGCGGGAAGGGCCTCGGCAAGGTGGGCGCCAAGCGCCTCCGCAAGGTGCTGCGTGACAACATCCAGGGCATCGCCAAGCCCACCATCCAGCGGCTGGTCCGGCGCGGCGGCGTCAAGCGCATCTCGGGCCTCATCTACGAGGAGACCCGCGGGGTGCTCAAGGTGTTCCTGGAGAACGTGATCCGCGACGCCGTCACCTACACGGAGCACGCCAAGCGCAAGACGGTCACGGCCATGGACGTGGTCTACGCGCTCAAGAGCCGGGGCTGCACCCTCTGTGGCTTCGGGGGCTAAGCATTGTGCTCTCCTCACCGGTTCCCTGGTTTCTCACCCAAAGACCCTCTTCAAGGCCGCCTGCTTTTCTGCTAAGGATCTCTCACGTACCCCTGGGTGCTGCTCTGGGGTTGGGGGTGTCTTGGTACAAAACGTTGAATGTTCACGGGCACCAACTGTCACCTGATGGTGTCCAGTGTTCGTATCAGCTGCTGCGAATGTAGCATCGAACACTTTCACGATCGACAGGCGTGAAGTGGTGAAATCACTACAGCACGTAGTGAAACGGGGGGTTAGACAGGTTCGTGGATGAGGAATCTTTTGGGCCTCCTGCAGACACGGCAGTTCTGAGAGCCGCTCGGCCTCTCTAAGGACGCTAAGCTATAGTTTAACGAAGTTTGCTACAATGTTTTCTCTAGTGTTACAGTTTTTATTTTTTTCAGTATGTATTTGTATGTGTGTGTTTGCAAGTGGTGGGGTCTCCCAGCCATATTATGTTCTGCCTAGTCAGATCTGTTAGCTTCAGAATAAAAACATTAATGAGCACAAACCTTAGCATATGCCACGTTGAATGCATTTGTTGCATAGAGTTTTGTCCTGTGTCAAACCTATTTTTGATGGGATGGTCAAAGATTACCAATGCTAAAACCTTTTGGAAAAAAGCTGGGGAACACTAGATTCAAATGATGTTCAAGTATCTCCAAACAATGTTATTTGCACAGGGAAAATATATCTTTACAGGGCAGCAATGCCTCCCACCCCCTGCCCCCAACTCCTTCCATCGCCCCCATCCCTGTGTATTAGTTAAGTGTTGTAATTTAGCACCACTAAAAGAAACTGACCACCTCTGAGCCTTCCCTTGTGCGTGATAAATATAGAGCCTCACCTTGGACAGAAGTGTAGGAACCTAATCATGCTTCAAGCTGCTGTTTACAGAGAGTACAGGGGATAAGGAGTCAAACACCATCACATGGAGAAAACATCAGACCGGAAGGTGGGGCATTATATAACATAATTAATGTGGTTCTTCCCAAAGGTCAGTCATAACAAAAAGGTGGAGGAGTGTTCAAGATCAAAAGAGACTCAAGTAATAGAGCACTGAACAAGATGGGTTGATCGGATCCTGGCTATCTATAGATAAAGCTATAAAGGCCATTTTGGAGACAAGTGGGGAAACTTGAATGCAGACTGGATATTAAATCATTCTATGAATTAATTTCTTTTCTTCCTTCTTCTTCTTCTTCTTCTTCTTTTTTTTTTTTTTTGTTTGATAATGTTAAGATTATGTGGAAAATTCCCTTATTCTTAGAGGAGTTAGATACTGAAATATTTAGGGGTTCAAGCTCACAATGTCTCCAATCTACTTTTAAATGGTTTGGCAAAAAAATGTATATGCATATAGACATATATACAACAGTGGTAAATTGTGCTCAGCTATTGAATTTAAGTGTTGGTTATAAAGAAAATTGGTCAACTTTCATCTTTTTTGTTTGAATATTTTTATAATAAAAATGGGAGGAAAATGAAACAGGTGACAAAACGCGTTGAAAATGGATACGTGTCATTATGGGAGAGGCTGAACAGGCGAGTGTAATGATCTGTCTGCACGGAAAGGGGACAGACACAGCAGGACACTCTGTCCCATGATGTGTGTCAGAGGCCTGTGTCTTATTCCCCTCATGCTGACTCCTTGAATAGAAGTTGGCCGGAGGGCAAGGACATGGACCAGGTCACTTCTGGCCATATTGTCGAAGATTAGGTTAGCCGCCGGAGTAAAGATCCAGGGGGACAGTGAAGTTAAATGCCATGGAGTTTGGGAAGGAATTTCTGAAGGAGGCCCAGCAGTTGCCCGAGTGAGGAAGGTCCCTCCCATCAGCCGAAAACCTGGTCACCAGCCTGCTTCCAATAACTCTTTGGGATATGGTGCCCATCCATACTCTGTGTTGTGGAGTCACCACCTTGCATTAAGGTCACTGTTCAGTCAAGGTCAGGACAGGTGACAGATAGCCCCTTACAATGGGCAACAGGAGGAGCATGTTCTAAAGAAGCAGAAATCAGAATATTGATTATTTTCATCTAAAGGCACTTGAAAAACAGTAGATGCAAGAAGGGTGCTCTGACCTTCCTTTTCCTTCCTTCCTTCCAAAAAGCAAGAGATAAAATTCCCATGGGAAAGGTGCCCCTTCCTGTCCCAGGAGGAAAGAACATTCTTCTCACCAGAGTCGGGAACTGAGATGGAGAGAGATCTGTAAAAGCGGACCTTGTTAAAATAACTCTCATCTTCCTTCAGCTTCCCTCTACCATTCAAGTCACTGTTCCATAATTTCCTCTTTTCGCGCAACTCAGGCTGTACATACACAGGCCTAACCACTTCTTTGGGTCTTCGTGTTCTTGTGAAGACTCCAGAGCATATGGAAAGTAAAATTTGTATTGTTTTTCTCCTGATAATTTTACCTTCCCTACACATTGGTGTTGGGAAGCAACTTTAAGTACGTAAAATACACAAACTCGACCAGAAAATATTTGAAACCATTTAATCCATTTAATACCTTTTTTTTTTTTTTTTTAAATTTAAAAAACTCCAAGTGTTTGGTTGCAACAAGACTGACTGACTCTGGTTGATCAAATATGAAAGGTGATGTTTTAAGGGGTAGACGACCACATCCTGGGGAGGGCTGTGGAACTAGGCCGGAAGACTATCAGGTACAAAACTTGAAACCATGTTTGGAATCATTCCAGGTGCTGAGGTCACAGAGGCCACTGCTCAGCTTGTCCTTGATGCCCTGGAAGCCATGGTTGCTGCTACTGCCAAAGTCTGGATCCTTCTATCAGCTCCTCTCCCTGCGGAAGTGAAGCTCCAGTCTCTACTATCCCATCCTGCAATTCTGAAGAGAAGTCTTTCGAAGGGGACACTGATCCAGGGAGCCAGGCCACATGGCTCCATTTTAGCCGCGAGGGAGGCTGGACCTTTGTTGGGAAGCCTGGGCACGTGAAGTCTGTACTAACCTGGCAACCACACAAACCGACGAAGGGAATAAATAGATCACTAGTTTACAAACTTTTTGTCCTACAAGTTCTGCAGTAAAAAACCAAACCAAACCAAACCAAACCAAACCAAACCATATATACTTGAAACTAAAATGTTATGACGTGATATTTTCATTTATTACATGAGATGGTGTTTTGATATTTTCTTTATATTATATTATACTATTTTTTAAAAAGTCCACATCAATGGATATGATGTAGGAAAGATTAGGGCTTGAAGCGGATGGCCAAGAACGAATTCTTGAGAAGTCTTTGGTGCAAAAACAGTGATTTTTTTTTTTTAAAGATTTTGTTTATTCATTTGACAGACAGAGATGACAAGTAGGCAGAGAAGCAGGCTGAGAGAGAGGAGTAAGCAGGTTGCCTGCTGAGCAGAGAGCCCGAAACAGTGATTTTCTTAAAGCATGGGAATAGGACCCGTGGGCAGAAAGAACTGCGCCAGGGTTGCAAGGAGTGGCTCTTTACATACTTTCATGTTGGGAGGGGGTTAGGGATAGCGTAAGTCTTGAGTTTCCAGGACCTAGCTATTGTTAGGAAATTTATTACTATTCAGTAAAAACTCAGTCATGGGACTCTTCAGATGTATATCAGCGGGTCATATGCTTAGAGGATGATTGCCAACGTGTATCTTGGGGTGGGGGGAGTAGAGATAAAGGAAGTTTCCAAAGAAATTTTTATATGTTAAAGTGGACTTACACGATACTGGAGGTCAGGCTAAGATTGCCTTTTGTAAAGTATTAATATTGAGGCAGATGAGTTCCTAGAAAGGAAGGTCACTCTGCCTGTTTTAAGAACTTGTGAAAGGGCCCTAAGTAGTAAGGAAATATCATTTTTCTTAAATGTCTTAAATCATTTTTCTTCTGCCTTTGTTTCCCACAACAGATGTAGGTAAATCGGAATTTTATCTTGTATTCAGAAGGGCAGTTAATAAATCTGAATAAATGTACCATTTTGACTCAGAGTAAGTTAATTTGGATTAACTTGGATGATTAAGTATTTTCATAATATCTCTGTTGCAATAACTATTTTTCATACTGTATCAGTGAATATGCTAAAAACCTAATACCATACATTTTTAGGAAAGTGAATACATTGTATTTTAGGAAATACATTGTAGTTTAGGAAAGTAAATACAATTCATACATTGTAGAAAAGATCAACTCTAGTTATAGGACTAAAGAAATAGTTTTTTTGTTTTGTTTTTTTCAAGTAGGCTGCGCACCCAGCATGGAGCCCAACATGGGGCTTGAACCCATGACTCTGAGATCAAGACCCTAGCTGAGATCAAGAATTGGACACCCACCCAACTGAGCCACCCAGGCACCCCGAGAAATAGTTTCTTTGGCATCACACTTAAACCAGATATGGACCCCTCCAACCCCCACCAAATTGCTGCTAATCCCTCTTTTATATTCTTTTTCTTATAACCCATGCAAGCAAAATAAAGCTTAGGAATTCTATAGCAACATATGACTATTCCATTAAATAGTAATAGAAATCTGGCTCACTTTGATTACATAGGAGCCTATGACAGTGGCATTTTTGTGAGAAAATTTTGGGTAAAATTATCCTCTTTGAAAAGTGGACATTAAAATAAAGACCTGTGAGAAAAGGAAAGAGGAGGCATCTTTATTTTAGACATTCAGATTGGGACTCATTAAATTATTTTTATTACGAATTGAGGGTTTACAATCTGTATCTAAAAGTCTGCAATAGTCCTTTGTAGCCACAAGCCTGACATTTGTGTCAAGGAAGATGGTAAGAGAGGAAAAAGTTCTAGGGGAGCAGATGAAATTATTAAAGGAGAGGAATTCATATAAAAGTTTACTTGTGGCCTCTGATAGCTTATCCATTCCACTGAATCATTTAGTCATTGCACAAATATTTACTAAGTGAGTACTAGGTGCTGGTAATTACCTGGGTTTTGAGAGTGTCAAAATGAAGATACTGTCCACGCCTTCAAGGCACCCGGA